CTTGCTGTGCACATCTGCAAGTTTGTTTTAAAAAGATAGCCCATTATTTATTTAAAATAAATAAATATATAAGGTAGCTACAATTTTTAAAAAGCCAATCACTTTTCTGGAACGAAACCTGGAATTTAGATTTTAGAAAAGGCTTACTTTGCGAGGTTAGATAGAACACAGCTTCCAAAATGTACATCTGTGGCTATCAGTGGAAGGGGAAAAAAGCTTCCCCACTTTCAGAACTAAAATTCCTGCCTGCAAAAATTCTGTTTAAAATGATGCATAATCAAGTATTCCTGGCATATACTCAAGAAGTGATTGTAGCGGTGATTAAAAGGTAAAGGTTCCCCTAGCACAGTGGCCCCCAACTTTTTTTTGTGCCGTGGCCCGGTACTGGCAACACAAAATCATCCGCGGCCCTGTACCGGCATCAAAATCATCCGTGGCCTGGTACTGGCATCAGCACGCATGGCAAGGCGAGCTGAGCAACCAGCCAGCCAGCTGTCTCCCGCTTTTCCCTGCCACCTTCAACTCCTCCTTTGTACCTGTGTCGATGGGCTTCGCAACGGCTTCAGGACGGTCGCTCGGCTCACCTTGCCATGCGTGCTGAAAGAATCCTCGCGCCTTAGTTTTGTTCGAAGCCGCCCCCCCTCTCGATGAAACTAAGGTGTGAGGATTCTTTCAGTACCCAAATGCCACTTTCTACCCGGAAAAGCTCACCGGAAGCACTTTTTCATCAAAACAAGATGGCGGCGCCCAGCAAACCGGTGGCCCGGTAGAAATTGTTCCCCGGACCGGTATCGGTCCGGGGACCGGTGGTTGGGGACCCCTGCCCTAGCACATATGTGATAGTTGTTTCCTGCTTTAGGGGGTGGGGCTCATCTCCATTACAAAGCCGAAGAGCCAGCGCTGTCCAAAGATGTCTCCGACATGGTCATCTGGCCGGCACGACTAAATGCTGAAGGTACACGGAACACTGTTACCTTCCCATCAAAGTGGTCCCCATTTTTCTACATGCATTTTTACGTGCTTTTGAACTGCTAGGTTGGCAGAAGCTGGGACAAGGAATGGGAGCTCACCATTAAGCGGTGCTGGGGATTTGAACTGCTAAACTGCCAACCTTTTGATCGAGAAGCTCAGCGTCTTAGCCATTGAGCCATTATAAATGTATATGGTTGCAATTTGATTCCTGGAATGTTTTTGTCACAACTTAACCAATTGTTCAAGCTTTTATTTTTGAAATAACCAAAAACAACCAAGAATAACCAAACCCCAGGTTTGTTCCAACATAGATCAGTATCAACACATCTAAACCTGGTTCTGATCTTTTGGCATCTCCAGTGAAAAAGAAGCCAGACAGCTGATACTGAAAAGCCATGCTTTTCCATTATTCTGCCTATTAAGTGCTTCCGTTAGTTCCATCATTGTTATGGTACTTTCTAACATTTTTTCAGTCTCTTCAGGTATCTTGGGTAGGTTAGCATTTTGTAGATAAAGCTTAATTCTTTCCTCATCAAAATCCTCCTGTTTATATAATTGTCCATAAAAGTCTTGGATAATTATCTTTTTCTCCTTGTTACCATAACAAGCACCAGGCCCAGATGGGCAGAATTTTTTCTGCTCCCGGCAGAATTTTATAAAACATTACAAGAATCGTTGAGCATTCCATTGTTAGAAGTTATGAATGAAGCCATGTTAAATAAGAAAATACCTAAAACATGGTCAGAAGCTTATATCACACTTATTCCAAAAGAAGGGGCTGATCCATCACAAATTAAGAACTATAGACTTATTTCTTTACTGAATGCAGATTACAAAATCTTTGCTTCCATCTTGGCAGAAAGGCTCAAAAGATATCTAAATAACTTTATTCATCCTGACCAGAATGGATTCCTGCCAAGGAGACAAATTAGGGATAATATGAGGGTAATTCTGGACACTTTGGAATATTACGAGGCACACCCTGAAAAACAAATGGCTTTGGTATTTTTAGATGCCCAAAAAGCATTTGATAATGTGAATTGGAGATTCATGTTTTTGTTATTGGAACAGATGGGCTTTGCTAGAAAATTTATTCAAGCAATAGAAGCCATATATGACAAACAAACGGCGAGAGTGATGATAGAGGGAGATTTTACAGATTCTATTAATATAAGAAAAGGCACAAGACAAGGTTGCCCATTATCACCTTTGTTATTTGTATTGACTTTGGAAGTGCTGAATAGAAACATTAGAGAGGATCCAAATATAAAAGGAATGAAAATTAAGAAGGAGGAATTTAAATTGCAAGCCTTTGCGGATGATTTGGTTTTTATTTTGGAAGATCCTCTAGGAACAGCTTTAAAGCTACTGGAAAAGATAGAGATTTATGGTGAGATGGCCGGTTTGAAAATAAACAAAGATAAAACAAAGATCTTGACAAAGAATATGTTATTAAAACAAAGATGAACTGGCAGATTTATTGAAAATTCAAGTTACGAATAAGGTCAAATATCTGGGGATATATTTGACGTCAAGATGTACTACATTGAAAGAGAATAACTATATCAAACTTAAACAACAGATAGCATCTGATTTGAAAAAATGGGAAAATCTACAATTGTCATTGATAGGTAGAATATCAACAATCAAGATGAATATTTTACCCAGAATTTTATATTTATTCCAAACCATACCAATCAGGCTTGGTAAAGATTACTTTGAAGAATTAAATAAAATTGTGTTGAAGTTCATATGGCAAGGTAAGAAAGCCAGAATAAAATTAAAACTCCTGCAAGATGCTAGAATTAGAGGAGGTTTTGGCCTCCCGAATTGGGAGTTGTATTACCAAGCTGCAAATTTAATGTGGGTTAAGGATTGGATAACATTAAGAAAGACTAGATTGTTGACTCTAGAGGGGCATGATTTATTACTGGGATGGCATGCTTTTCTGTGGTATAAGGGAACCAAATCGCAGGGCTATTTTAGAAGGCATTATATAAGGGAGTCTTTATGGTTGAATTGAGAGAAAATTAAGAGAAAATGTTATTTGAAAATCCCAGTCTGGTTATCAACTATTGAAGCTTTTTCTTATCCTATAATATATGAGAAGGAACAAACAGTTAGATATGGGGAAATATTGGATGAAAAGAGTGAACTTAAAACAATGCAAAAACTAGAAGAACAAGGCATAAAGATGAATTGGTTTTCATATGCGCAAATACATTCAAGGTATCTTATAGATTCTAAAGTGGAGGGATTTTATGATAAATTGACTGATCTAGACAGGATCTTGACAGGTACTGATGAAAAAATGATTAAAAAATTATACACTTATTTGTTGGAAATTTTATTAGAGGAGGAACAAGTTAAAGAAACGATGATTGTTTGGGGGAAGAATTTTGGATATGGGATTGATTTGGAGAATTGGGAAAAATTGTGGTCTCAAAATTATAAAATGACAATGTCAACAGCTTATAAAGAAAACTTGTATAAGATGTTTTACAGGTGGCATTTTCTCCCGACAAGAATTGCAAGAATGTTTAAGAACAAATCTGAAAAATGTTGGAAATGTCATCAGATACCTGGCTCATACTACTATATGTGGTGGACTTGTGAGGACGCTAGAAAATATTGGACTAAAATTCGCATATGGTTGGAAAAAATGACAAAGACACATATAGACTTGAAACCAGAGATTGTTTTATTGGGAATCTTACCGGATATATATAATAAAAATTTGAAGTATTTGATTGTAAATATATTAACAGCGGCTAGGATTGTATTTGCTAAGAACTGGAAGAGTGAGAAAATTCCATCAGAAGAAGAAATTATTAAGAAAATATTGGATTGTGCTGAAATGAGCAAATTGACATTTGAAATCAGAGAACAAGAAGATAAACAATTTTATGAAGTTTGGGATCTTTTTTATCAATGGTTAGATAATAAAACATAATGATAGAATATTCAGATTTAGCATAAAAAAAATTTTTTTTTCTTAATATTATCTTTATAAAACATTATTAAGGTAGATTTGGTATGATCTTATGATTTATTGCAAAATAAATTAAGCAAACTATAGTTATCTCGTTAAAATATGAATTAACAAAATTATAAATGATTTATTTATTTATTTTTAGTGATGATATTAGGTTATACAATTATTGATTGATAATATGAGCTATTATGTAATATAATTATACTGGTGACTAGGAAATGGATGCACAAAAAAAAGTGGTAAACCAATCGATGCACTGTATGTAAATTCATGAAGAAGGATCTTTTTATGTTTTTTGTGGTATGTTTATGTTTATTTTGTTATGTATGTTTATGTTTATCTTGTTATTAAAAAATAAAAAAAATTATTTAAAAAAAAAAGCCATGCTGAAGACCTGGAAGAACAATTAAATATGGCTTCATTTAAAGGCAACCTTAAATGTTGGTTATGTTTGCCACAAATACCAACCTTGCATTTAAAAATGTCTGTGGGGCTTTGTGTTTAAAATCTTTTGTGGTTTAATGTTCTTTCCTCTGTAGTCCTTTTCTACTTCAGATTTGACTTACAACCATTTGTTTAGTGACCAATCAAAGTTACAACAGCAGAAATAAGTGACTTGTGACCATTTTTCACATTTATAACCATTGCAGCATCCCCATTTTTACATGATCAAAATCTGGGCACTTGGCAACAGGGTCACATTTATGATGGTCGCAATGTCATGATCACTTTTTTTCAACCTTCACTCAACCACTGTGTTGCTAACTGAATGACTGCAGTGATTCGCTTAACGGCGGCAGAAAGGAAGGTCGCAAAATGGAGCAAAACTTGCTTCACCGCTGTTTTGCTCAGCTGTTTTTGGTCGCGGCAGTTGTAAGTCGAGGACCACCTCCATTGGAAAGTTGCGTTAAAAGAATTGCTGTGGCAGAATATGAAACAAATCCTTTTTGTATAGCCCTTCACTTCCCTCTCCCATGAAAAAAGAGCCAGATAAAAGCAAATGTGAAAACTTTTAATAGGAACAAGAGAAAGCATACATTACAGCTTAATATTAAATCAGGTATGGAGACCTGGAAGATCCCCCAAAATTTAACAAGTCCAAGGTAGGGAATGGAAGTTTTCAACAGTGGAGAGAATAGCCACTGCTGACATATAAGCAGACTGGAGGAAGGAAATACCTTTCCTTCTAGAAGAAAGGCCAGACAGCCCTGATGGGGAGATTTCGGAAAGGAATGCTCTAGGCCCCAGCCAAAGATTAGATTCAGGTTGGCCCCACATTCATATAAAAAGGGGAAAGGAAAACTGGACTGGAAAATCCTTGCCTCCCCATCTCCCCCAATGCCATTTGAATAAGAAGTGAAAGGCACCATCCTCTGTTTGTTCCCAGCCTCAATGAGCTTGTCAGGATTTCAAGCAAACTTAGCAACAGCCTGATCGGTCCCCAGAGCCTTGCAGTCCCGGGCGGAGTGATGATCCACCTGGAATAATGGCTGGTTGTTTAGAGCCAATCCTGATCCCATTTCCCTGGAAAGAGAAAAGAAAGAAAAAGGATTTAACTATGTAAACATTGAAAATAAAGTCGCCCTGACCCACTTTAAGCTTATACTCTACACCAGGGGTGTCAAAGTGGATTTCTTCAAGGGCCAGATCAGCATTGTTCTCCACCATGGGCTGGCGGGGTGGTGATGGGTGGGAGTGGGGGGCGGGGAGCAGAAGGGGGGGGGAGACATGATGGACGCCTCTTGAAATACTTTGCTGGCCAGAAGTGGGTCATGTGGAGGCCTAGCGAGGCCCCTGCACAGCCTGTTTTCAGCCACCCCAGCTGCCAGCAAAAATGGGTGTCCCATTTTCGGCCTCCCTAGCTTCTAGCAGGCCCTCCTTTTTGGCCAGCAGAGGCACCACAGGCTGGTCCTTTGATATTTCCAGGCCAGAGGTGGTATGCAGCAGGTTCTTACCAGTTCTGGAGAACTGATAGGGGAAATTTTGAGTAGTTTGTAGAACTGGCAAATACCACCTCTGACTGGTCCTGCCCCCATATATTCTCTGCCTCCTGAGTCCCAGCTGATCGGCTGGATCTTCTTTTGTTGCCCTGCACAGGAGAACGGAGCTGGAAAGCAGGTTAGTGGGGTGGGGAGGGAATGAAGATTTTGCAATATCCTTCCCCTGCCACACGCACCAAACCAGGCCTACAGAACCAGTAGTAAAAAAAATTGAATCCCACCATTGTTCGTGCTATTATAAATCTAAGTGCTATTGCTATTAATAGTTCATTAATATATCTCTACTTCGACTTCAAAATTTAATACACAAGGACTGTGGTGTTGCAGTAGGTAGAATGCAGTATTGCAGGTTAATTTTATTGATTGCCAGGAGTTCGATCCTGAACAGTTCAAGGTTGACTCAGCTTTCTATCCTTCCAAGGTGGGTAAAATGAGAACCCAGACTGTTAGGGGCAATAGGCTGACTTTGTAAACCGCTTAGAGAGGGCTGTAAAGCACTCTGAAGTGGTATCTAAGTGCTATTGCTGCTATTGATGTAGAAACGTTCTCGTTAATTGAACCAACTTTTAAGTTTAAAAGATGCAACTTTTGGTTCCTGAACTGTACAGAAGACTTTTCAACTGGGCCCTATCAATATCCTCCAACAGGCTAAGGTAAGGAAGGCTACCAGATTTGAATCTATCTATCTGGAGTTTGAAGTTTAATGTAACTTAACTGGGAAAGACTCATAAATGAAGGCAGGACAAGAAGCAATGGAAGGAAACTAATCAAAGAGAGTAAACTATAACTAAGGAGAATTTTCCTTATAATTAGAATGATTAATCAGTGGAACAACTTGCCTCCAGAAGTTTTGGTTCTTCAACACTGGAGGTTTTAAGAAGTGATTAGAGAACCATTTGTCTGAAATGGTGTAGGGCAGGGGTGCTAAACTCAAGGCCTGCTGGCCCATGAGGTGCTTAGATCTGGCCCAGAGGGCTGCCCTTGAAACAGTGAAGGACCAGCCTGCAGTGCCTCTGCCAGTGAAAACGGAGCACACGTGGCCCTCCCAAGCTCCATTTTCATGCAGAGGGTTGCAGGGGACCAGAGCAGCCAAAAACAGAGCCCAGGTACCCCCAACCACAGGTGCCCCAACATAGGTGACGTCAAGCAGGCCACACTGACCCTGACCATGCCCAACCCAGTCATGCTCCCTCCCTGCCCTCGAGATCAAACACAACTCTGATGTGGCCCTCAATGAAATTGAGTTTGACACCCCCAGTGTAGGGATCCCTGCTTGAGTAGGTGGTTGGGTTAGACCACCTCCAAGATCCCTTCAAACTCTGTTAATTCTGCATTATTAATGTCAGTCTGAGTACTGATTGAGTACTGAAAATCTTGATTCTAGTAAGCGCAGGCCTGTGATTTGGCCCCCTTTTTAAAGGTAATTAAAGAACATTGCATGGAATTTTTCAAACTGCCAGCAACCTCTGCTAAGACTCCAGCTATATTAATAGAATAGAATTAGAATTAGAAATTGAATAGGGATAGGATAGAATAGAGTAACAGAGTTGGAAGGGACCTTGGAGGTCTTCTAGTCCAACCCCCTGCTTAGGCCAGGAACCTTATACCATTTCAGACAAATGGTTGTCCAGTGTCTTCTTAAAAACTACCAGTGTTGGAGTATTCATAACTTCTGGAAGAAAGTTGTTCCACTGATTAATTGTTTGAACTGTCAGGAAATTTCTCCTTAGGTTCTCAGTTGCTTCTCTCCTTGATTAATTATAATAATGTAGCTCTGTCCCATGACATAATTCCTGGCTACGGGTTTGACAGAGACCCAGCAAGGCTTGTGTCCAGCTCACCTCATTGGAAATGTCAAGTTCACCCTGTTGGATCTTTCTGTAGATGGCTTTAGCTGTGTTGAGAAAGGCCTGGGAACAGCAAACGGAAAGAAAAACAAAATTCAAGGTCAGAGTAAAAACTGGTAGAATAGACTCCTAGCCATCTACTATCAGAAGAGATATTTGAAACCATGAAAGAGACCACAAGGCATTCTACACCCTCCACCATCTGGCTGGCAGGTTCAGAAGAAGTTATGCCGGGATTTCCGACTGTGGAGTTTCAACGTATTTTTTTTATACCTCTTCCACATTGGCTGATGTCTTTGCTGATGTCTCCATGAAAACCATGCCATGTTCCCGGGCGAAAGCCTCTCCCTCTTCTTTCTGCACCACCCGCCGGTGCTCCATGTCACTACAGGAAAAGAGACAAACACGACGGTCAAGAGAGGACGAGAACATAGAAGCCTGAAAGAAAGAACAATCATCATCATAGTTTAATGACCCCATATTCCCTTGCAGGGTGGGAGTCTGGGCAATTGAATGGAGCTAGCAGAGTGTTTTACTGGCTGGAGGCCCTTTCTGATGTCAATGCGGAGGTTTGTTCATCAGATAGAGTCTCAGTGTACCCAGAGAGATAAATATCTGCCTCTGCCTAGGATCGAACTAAGAAAGAATGATGATGCAGATAAACCCCACCTGGAAGTCTATTTCTTCAGCCGCCTGTTCTCAACCCTCTTTGATGGACCCCTGAAGCAAACACACCCATGTACAAAAAATGGTTACAGGTAACTATTGACTTACGATCACAATCAAGACCAAAATTTCGATCAAGGAAGTTGTCATGTGAGTTTGCCCCCATTTTATGACCTTTCTTGCCACAGTTGTCTTGCCACAGAATCGTCACAGTTCTTAAGTTAGTAACGTAGTTGTTAAGTTTGCTTGTTAAGTATGACTTTTCTCATCTTCCCCCCCACCACAACCGGACATCCATTGGTGGATGGAAACAAAGGAAAAGCAAGGGCTTTCTTTTCATTCCCATGGGACTTTCAACCTGGGAGGACTTCTGGGTAGAAAATTGACATGCAGAGATTGAGGAGGAACATGAGAACAGAAAAACCACCCGATCCCTAAAGTGATCAGATGCTTGTAGGAAGCTGTTGCCCTTCCCGCTACAAATCCCCCACTCACTACTAGCACTGATGACGTTACATAATTTGAAAATGTAATGACTGCAAGAAAACAACGCCAACAGTCTCCCTAAGAGAAGAGATAAGTACTGGTGTTTAAAACAGAGCAGTGCAGATTCAAATGCCCAATGTTCCCAGCCACCTATGTGCAACTCCCAGCCACATCTGTTTCCAAATTTGTGGGTCTTCTTTTTGCAGCTACAGCCCAGATGGATTTGATTTAAATCAAATCAATTTAAATCATTATTTAAATCACGATTTTTAAAGAGCAACTGACATCTCTGTCCCACAGAAGCTCCTTCTCTGATCCGTGGTTGACTCACAACAGTCCCAATATTGCAGCATATACAGCAAGAGTCTTGTTCAAACTTGGCAAGTTTAAGACTTGTGGACTTCAACTCCCAGAATTCCTGAGCTAACATGACTGAAGGAGGAATTCTGGGAAGTTTTAAAGTTATCAAGTTTGAAGGCCCCTGATATATACAGCCTCATGCTACATAACTAAGCTCCATTTCATGTTGGATAAACCAAGTTATTAGTGTATCTTAAATAGAAAACTACCTTGAGACAGGTTTTTACTCCAAAAGCATTTTATTAAAATAAACTTGATCAAAATCAAAAAAATCCAATTTAAATAAAAAAAGTCTGATTTAAATTTTAAAAATCTGATTTAAAAGAAATATAATTTAAAAACATCATTGATTTTTATTCACCCTGGTTGCAGCCATGTAAAGATGCCTTTGGTCAAAGGAATTGCAGACAGTCCGACATGCGTTGATTGACAGGGCTTCGATGGGTGGGCAAGGAGGAACAAACCAGAAGGAAGGAATCACCCTTACCTTTTATTGCCAATGAGCATGATCACCATGTGGGGACTGGAATGCTGCCTAGCGTCTTCTAACCAGGCATACAAATGGTTGAAAGTTTCCCGCCTGAGAAGAGCGAAGAGAAAAAAAAAAAAGTCAAGGTGAAGGTGAAAACGATCAAAGCTTGAGAAGGTTATAGCTTCCTGGAGAAACATCCTCTGCAACTCTTTGTCCCCAGAACCAGCACTGGGGAGACATAGGGGATTGGAGAGGAGTGTCACTTCCATTGTCACTTGACATCCAAGGGAAAAAGAGACCAGAGGTGGGCTTCAAAAATTTTACGGCTGCTGGGTGGGCGTGGCCTAGTCGGCCTCCTGCACCACGGCGGGGGGGGGGCTGTTTTCACCCTCCCTGGACTCTTTTTTGACACTCTTTTACAAGGCCCTGGTTTTGCCAATGATCCTGGGAAGCCAAAGTGGGATCATCAAGCGGCTGTTAGATTACTGCTTGTCACCAAGGGGTGGGGAATGTTTATTCTTTGTATATTTGGATTTTTATCTTTTGCAAGCCACTTAAGAGTCCCTGAAATTGAATGGCCAGCCATGTAAATTCTCTAAATCAATAAATAAATTGGCCTATTTAGGGAATGTTAGTTTCACCCATCTCTCTATCCCAGGGATGTCAAACTCGATTACATTGAGGGCCACATCAGGGTTGTGTTTGACCTCAGAGGGCCAGGCATGGCCGGGGAGTGGGCACGGCCATGATGGGTGTGACTTATGTCAGGGGCACCTGTGCTGGCCAAGTGCTAAGGCAGGACTTCCCTGACACCCTCCCTCTCATTATAAGCATTTCCTTCCTTCCTTCCTTCCTTCCTTCCTTCCTTCCTTCCTTCCTTCCTTCCTTCCTTCCTCCTTTTCCCTTCCCTCTTCATTCTCTTTTCTTCTTCCTTCCCCTCTTTCCTTCTTTTTCCTTCCTTGCTCTATCCCAAAAGGGAGCATGTGCGTGGGAGCACCAGGAAAATGGAAGAGCAGCTCCCTGGCACACACGCACGGGAGTGCCGGAAACTGGAAGTGCAGTTCTCTGATGGGCATGCGCATACCAGAAAGCTGAGCTTCTGGTTTCCAGCACACCACCTGCTCTTTTGGTTTCTGGTGCTGCCGCATGCATGAAAACCTGCTGGCCGGCACGCATGCATGTGCTGGAACCAGGAAGAGAAAAGGGTGATGGCTGGCATGCTCTGAGAGATGTCTCTGCATGCCACTTCCGTGTGCCATTGGTTTGCCATCACAGCTCTATCCAAATAATTCCAGTAGCTTAATGGGATGACCTGCAAGGACCTACAGAGCATCAATGGCCCTCCAAACCAAAACGTTGGGATCCACTGGGCTAAACAATTAAACCTGATCCGGATCCACGTCTACTTTTTGCATTGCAGTTGGGCCTCACCTGGTGATGTCATAGACCAAGAGTGCCCCGGCTGTACCTCGGTAATACGAGCGGGTGATTGAACGGAAGGATTCCTGGCCAGCCTTTGGAGCAAAAGAGAAGCACACAAAAACTACGCATCAGGCCTAAAGCATGAGCCAAATGGCACCAAATCTGGATGTGGAGGTGTGATAGTAGCTGGGAGCAACTGCTGTTTGCTCTTCCTGGCCAATCCAGTCCCACGCAAGCTGTTCCTTCCACAAGCCCAACCAATTCCCCTTACCCAAAGGCTTCTGGAGTTCCTCACCGTATCCCAAATCTGCAGTTTGATCTTCTTGTTTCCAATGGTAATCATCCGTGCACCGAACTCCACACCTGGTGGGGAAATGGAAGAGGAAGAGGTTCGACGGGGATCAGGCTCACTGGGCTGGGCTGCCACCTGTACCCCTTTTTCGGCATGATCCCCAAACATTAAGCTAGACTAGGGTGAAGGCAAGAATGTTGGGGGTGGAATCTAGAGAAAGGCGGGAAGGAACAGAATGTAGAATAGTTTGTAAAATTAAGAGTCGAACAAGCAAAGGTATAAGAACAAAAGAAGGAATAACTACAAAAAACATGGGATATTCTATATTCTACTCTTTATTCCATTCCATTCTATCCTATTCTGCATTTCATTCTATTCTATTCTATTCTATTCTATTCTATTCTATTCTATTCTATTCTATTGTTATCCTATCCCATCCTACCCTCTGCTATCCTTAGAAAATTTTAAAATGATCTTCTCCCAATGGACTGCCTGTGTTTCTCATGTTCTATCTATGGTAGTCTTGACTTACGACAACTATTACGTCCAAAATTTATCTTGCTAAGACAGACCCTTGTTAAGTGAGTCATAAATCACTTTTTCAGTGCTGTAATACAACAGGCCCCAACCTTTAAGCTTGGCAGCCCAACCCGGTATGAGGGAAAAGGAGTGTGAGAGGCAGGCCCATGCACTTGCACACACTTCTATTTGTCTGAATGTCGCGCATGCCCTTGTGCGAATGGTGCTTTGCGCACAAGTGAAGGGTACTTGCATTTATGCATGAATTCATGTGAATGGAGCTTTGCCATGAGCTCAAGTCTTTTCTGCTCAGGCACTAGGAGCTTCACACGCACACACTTGCCCATTTCTCTCACAGCCCAGTTTCAAATAGGCTGTAGTCATGGCCTTGGGGATGGGAGCTCTGCTGTAGTAACTTCAGTCACAAAACAAACTGTTGTAAGTTGATGACTATCTTACAGTATTTATATATATATTGTGTGTACATCTATCTATATTATCATCTATCTACTATCTATCCATTTATCTATCTATCTATCTATCATCTATTTATTTATTATCTGTCTCTCTATCATCTATACATCATGCTCTCTCTCTCTCTGTACCTATTTATCCTATCCTATCCTATCCTATCCTATCCTATCCTATCCTATCCTATCCTATCCATCTTTTAAAAAAAATAAATTTATTTATTCAACATTTCATCAGTTAAAAACAAATTTTCATATTTTACAACATTGCTAAAGCACTGTATACATTTGCATTTCTCTTCTATTAACGTGTTATACATCTTTATATTTACTTCTGTCATTTTAAGCATTATACATACATTTTATTTACATTTATTTACACGTAAACCTTATTTTTTTATGTCACAAAATTATCATTCAACTCCTTTTCCTATCCATTCGTACCAAATATTCCATATTTTATAATATTCTCCTTCTTCCTTATCTTTCATTAACTTTGTTAATCTATCCATCTCAGCACATTCATATACTTTATTAATTATTATGGTTTCGGGGCGGTGGGGGGTGTAGTAGCTTCCAATTTTGGGTGTAAGTAATTCCAGCAGCTGTTATTATATGGAGCATCAGATATTGATATTTCTTATTCATGTTCGGTTCTAGCATACCTAGTAAAAAAAGTTCTGGTTTAAATTTTATTCTCCGTTTTGTTATTTCCTCTAGCCATAATCTAATTTTTTGCCAGTATTTCCATGCATGGGGGTAGATTCATTATATATGAAAGTATATTCCCTGTTTATGATTACATTTCCAACATTTAGGTAAAATATTTGGGAACATTTTGGCTAGTCTCGCTGGGGGTAGATGCCAGTGGTAAAACATTTTGTATATATTCTCTTTGTAAGAAAGCGACATTGTTAATTTATAATTTACCTGCCAAATACTTTCCCACTGATCTAAATTAATGGCCCATGTTTTTAGCCCAAATTATCATACTTTCTTTAACGGTTTCCTCCGTCATTTTGTAATCTAATAGGCACATATATTTTACTAATCATTTTTCCCATCCATTGTAATATTTTGTCTAACTCTTGCTGAGTTGTATGAAAGCCAAATTGTTTGTCTTTTTATAGAGTGTTTGAACCTGCAGATAAGGCCACCATCCTATTTCAATTCTCTGAAGTTCTAATTGGTTCCGTGTTTTTAATTCCCCCTTTCCAATATTTTATCATTTTGGTGCAATCTAAGGCACTGGGATATATTAGTGCTTCCATTGTCAACAACCATAACAGTACCTTCACATAATGATTCTTTTTTAGTTTTTCCCATATAGTTAACAAAGTGTCTCTCACCCAATGTCTTTGGAAGTAGGTATTGTAGTGTATTTAAATAGAGACTTCTAGGGTGATGTTCCTATTGGTTAGCAGAAGCAATGATACAATTGGTTAGTAACGGTAGTATCTGATTGGCTGCCTATAAGTGGCGGGAAGTTTAACTAAATATCATTGGTTGTGAGCCGTGGAGCAGCCGCTATAAAAAGGGCTGCTGCGGTTCGACTGCAGTTGAAGTTACTGTTATTATTAAAGAGCTGAATTCAACTCCGGTCTACGAGTCTCTTTACTGGCGACAGAACACTGGCAATGAAGGTGGGATTAAAGAGACAAAGACCATAAGCACGACAGCCGAAGGACCAACGAGATGGCCGGCAACAATTTGCCACCCGCACAGTTTAACCCAGCCGAAGAAGACTGGGAGTCGTACATTGACAGATTCCTGATGTTTTTAGAAAGCAACGAGCTGCTTTTCCCGACCAAAGGAAGAGAGCCGTATTCCTAACGCATTGCGGTCCAACTGTTTTTAAAATGGCCAAAGCGTTAGCAAGACCAAATGATGTTAAACAGATGGCATGGCCAGACCTGAATCGGATGTTGAGGAACCATTACGCACTGGCCGTATCCAACCTAATTAAAAGACACGAGTTTTACAAGCGCGACCAACTAGAAGGCGAGAGCATTGGAGACTTCATAGCAGCATTAAGAGACATTGGGGGGGCATGCGAATTCCTCAACATAGATGAAGCCATGAGGGATCGCATAGTCCTTGGACTAAGAGACGCATCCTTACAGAGCAAACTACTAAACCGACCAAACATCACGGTGAACGAAGCCATTACTGAAGCAATTGCCGCTGAAGCTGCAAAGAGATTTGCAGCAAAAATGAAGCAGATGAATACAACGGGCAGCCCGGGCATGAACGAAGAGAAGAAGACAGAGGGAACCAAAAGCACGCTGCCACGACCTCTCACCATGAGGACATCGAATCATCAACCGATTTAGATGACGAAGATGAGGAAGTGAACAGACTCTACTCAGAAAGGAACCGGAGAGGGAGACGAAGCAGAAGATCCGAGTTCCAGTGTGCGGGTTGCGGCGGAAGCCACCCGAGATCTGAGTGTCGATTCCTGGATGCCACATGCCGGCATTGTGAGAAACGGGGGCACATCGCAAGGTATGCCGAAACAAAAAGAGCTATAGTTCAAGGGGACAAGGCAGTACCCCCACCCCCACCCCAGCAACAAAGAAGGGACAAACGGAAGCTGTTGGAACTGTGACAAAAAAAGTCAACGGAAAGATGAAAAGGAAGAAACGCACCAAACTATCACAATTGGGACGGCCAGAACAACAAACAATAAGAAGGTTCGAATCAACGTCCTGATTGAAGGCGAGCCATGCGAGATGGAAGTAGACTCCGGTTCGTATTTATCAATGGTGTCATGGAACACAATAAAAGACTTAATTCCCGATATACAACTCAGAGAACTTGAGAAGCAAAGCCTGATCAAAGCCTGATCATCAAGGACTACCAGGGTAACAAAATACCGGTAGTAGGGCTAGGACACTTCAAAGTTAATTTTAAAAGGCACACCAAGATCCTGCCATTAACCATCGTTGACAGAGATCCCCCCAGCCTGCTCGGGTTGGAATGGTTCGAACTGCTCGGGATCAAGGTGACAGGAATCAACAACACCACCATGACTGACTGGGAAAAAGACCTGATAGAAGAATTCCATGACGTGTTTGACGGGACCTTAGGCAAGTACCGTGGGACCCCTATATCGTTTAACTTAAACCCGAACGTAGCTCCAGTTAGGCTTAAAGCCAGACGGGTACCATTTGCACTAAGACCTAAAATTGACAAACAACTAAACAAACTAATCGTTCAGGGGGTACTAGAGCCAACTGACCATGCCAGATGGGAGACCCCAATTGTGACCCCTATAAAACCTGACGGGTCCGTGTGCATCTGTTGTGACTATAAGGCCACCCTGAACCACGCATTGCAACAAAGCGCATACCCCGTTCCAGTAGTCCAACACCTGTTGCATTCATTGGGAAGAGGCAGGATTTTTGCAAAACTCGACCTCGTGCAGGCATATCAACAATTACCCGTTGATCCTGAAACAGCCGAGGCACAAACCATCGTAACGCACAGAGGAGCATTTAAATGCAATAGATTACAATTCAGCGTAAGCGTGGCCCCTGGCATTTTCCAGAGCCTAATGGAACGCCTTCTACAAGGAATAAAAGGGGTGGTGCCCTATTTCGATGACGCATTAATATCTGCTGAAAACAAAAAACAACTAAAAGACCGTTTAAGGGCAGTTCTGACAAAATTTAGAGAAGTAGGACTCAAGGTCAAAGAAGAAAAATGCCAACTTGCCACAAACCAGGTCGAGTTCCTGGGGTACCTTATTGATGAAGCAGGAATCCACCCCACACACACACAAAATACGAGCGATTAAAGAAGCCCCCAGACCCAAAAAGAAAATGGATTTACAGGCTTTTTTAAGTCTCATTAATTTTTATCATGCCTTTCTGCCACAGAAGGCAACAGTAGCAGAACCACTGCATAGACTCCTCGATAAAAAAGCCAACTGGAAATGGGGCCACCAAGAAGAGACAGCATTTCAAAAAATTAAAGACTTAAATCACATCAAAATCAGTATTGATTCAATACAGCAACACACTACCTCTAACTGTCACCTGCGACGCTTCGCCTTTCGGAATAGGCGCAATATTCAGTCACACACTACCAGATGGCAGAGAAGCACCAATTGCCTTTTATTCCAAGATGTTATCCAAAATCGAAAGAAAGTACAGCCAACTAGACAGGGAAGCCTTGGCAGCCATCTCGGGAGTGAAACGTTTCCACAAATACTCATACGGTAGGACATTTTCTTTGATTACCGACCACAAACCATTATTGGGAATCCTAGCCGGAGACAGGGCAACCCCCAATATCCTGTCCCCAAGAATGACTAGATGGTCAGAATTTCTAGCAGCTTACAGTTACAAACTCATTTATCGCCCGGGGAAAGCCATACCCCACGCAGATGCCTTAAGCCGCGCACCACTACCAGGGCACGACGACGATACAGCTCCTACCACACAGACACTACAAATTGAAACGATGCCAAATTGGCCAATCACTGCATCAGGCATCACCAGGGAAATGGCTAAAGATGCACTGATGAGCCGGATATTGAACTGGGTGGGTTGGGGTTGGTCGGAAAACATGAAAACCGAAACCTTTAAACCATTTAAAAACCGGCAAACTGAATTATCGCTGGAAAAAGGGTGCATTTTGTGGGGAGACAGGGTGGTGGTTCCCAAAAAGTTACAAGAAAGGGCGCTAACCATGCTACACGAAGGACACCCCGGCATAGTAAAAATGAAGTCCCTGGCCAGAAGCTACGTTTGGTGGCCAGGAATAGATAAAGACATTGAAGCCTGGGTTAAAACATGTAGCAAATGCCAATCTTCCAGCCTGCCCCCACTCAACACCAGTCCTCGAATGGGAGACACACCGAGGCCCCTGGTCAAGAATATATGGATTTCGCCGGCCCCACAAAAGGTTATACTTACCTAATCGTCGTGGATGCCTATTCAAACTGGTTGGAAGTCATCATCATGAGTTCAACAACCATAGAAGCTGTCACCAAACAACTAAAAAAACTTTTCGCCACCCACGGTCTACCAGATGTAGTAGTATCGGACAATGGGCCACAGTTTACAGCCTTGGGTTTTGAACAGTTTCTCGCAGAACATGGAATACGACATGCTTTGACAGCGCCAGCTCATCCGGAGGCGAACGGTAGAGCGGAACGCATAGTTCGTTTTATGAAAGAAGCACTGGAAAAGCTTGACGGACGTGATATGCAAGAAAAACTCAACACCATGCATGACTACGAACAAGAGCCCAGCTGAACTTTTGATGGGAAGAAAATTGCAATCTTACTTGGATAGACTGCACCCTACCTACAACCCAGAAAACCCACCAGACTCGTCCAGTAAGTACCGCTCCTTCTTACCAGGAGATTTAGTCTACGCAAAAAATCTTACCGGAGAACCATTGTGGTTACCAGCAACGATTACACAAATCACTGGCCCTCGTTCCTACCGCCTAGAAACCACCAATGGCAGATCGTAGAAACGACACATCGATCAGCTACGGTCCCAACACATCGAACGAGACACCGACGTTCCCCAAAACTCAGAACAAACACTTTTCCAAACATCCCCAGACATTAATAAAAAAGCCAGAGGGGGGTGGGGGTGGAACAAATTAATAATGAAAGAAATAAAAATCACTTAGCATTAGAAGACTTTGAAAAACAAGAGGAGCTGAAGGAACCTCAGGGGAGAAGCAGCCAGGCCGACTTGACCTGCCCACACACACAGCAAGGAGACCACGCTGCCCATCCAACAAACCCAGACCACAGAGAAAGACCAAACAACCCAAGGCAAGACCGAAGTGGCATGGTCGAGGCACCCTTCCAGGAGGTTCCAGAGGAAAGACTGGAAATGACAGCTGGCCTGTCCGAACCGGCGGAGACCAACACAGGGACTGAACTGTGCAGGTCAACAAGGACTCACAGGAGCCCCGCCTACCTGCGCGACTACATTACGTTGGAACGAACCAAGAAGGGAGGGGTGTAGTGTATTTAAATGGAGACTTCTAGGGCACTGTTCCTATTGGTTAGCAGAAGCAATGATACGACTGGTAGTAACGGTAGTATCTGATTGGCCTATAAGTGGCGGGAAGTTTAACTAAATGTCATTGGTTGCAAGCCATGGAGCAGCCGCTATAAAAAGGGCTGCTGCGGTTCGACTGCTGTTGAAGTTACTGTTATTGTTAAAGAACTGAATTCAACTCCGGTCTGCGAGTCTTTTTACTGGTGACAGAACATGTATGATGTTTACTCGTCCCATCCTAAAGGAACACATGCCAGCCAAGTTGTAAATCAAAACCCTCTATCGCTAATATCCTTCTATTTGTCAAATTAATCCAATCCTTAGCCCATGTGGCTATTGCTGCCTGATAATATAGTTCAAAGTCTGGGAGGCCAAAATCTCCCATGCTTCTACTGTCCTGTAGTAATTTATATTTTATCCTAGCTTTTTTCTTTTGCCAAATGAATTTTGATATTTTTTTGTTTAAATCTTCAAAAAATTTCTTTCCCAACTTGACTTGCACCATTTGAAACAAAAATAGTAACCTTGGTAAAACATTCATTTTTACAGTTGCAATCCGCCCCAGCAAGGACAATTGTATCTTGGCCCAGTTATCTAAATCCTTTTGTATTTGAGTTATTAATCTATCATAATTGTCTTCTTTTATTGACGAGCACTTTGCCATCAAGCAGATTCTGAGGTATTTTACTTTTTTTTTTTTACTATGCAAACCTAATTGATTTACTAATTCTTCATTTTGTTTTCAATTCAATTGTGTCTGATTTTCAAAAATGGTCTGGGCAAGTTTTTGCAATTTTTCTTGGCAAATTTTTCCTCCAAAGTGGTTTGCCACTGCCTTCTTCTTCCTATGGCTGAGAGAAATTGACTGCATCAATGTCATCCAGCTGGCTTTGTGCCAAAATTGGAGCTAGAACTCACATCTTAGTCACCTCCTCGTGAAATGAATGTCAAACAAATTTAATAAATTCTCCTGTTTTCCAGCCGGATGCCATAACGACCACCGAGCTGACTATCCATATTGTATCTACTGTATATTCCATGTACTGAATATTCAAAGGATGTTGGAACACGGAACTTTTGTCTACATGAGTTTTAACCTCACTGTGTACACTCTTGGTTCTGTAATAATAGCACAGTGACTTTTCTCTCCACAGGGCATCTACAGGTAGCTAAGCACAATTCCGACAATTATGGTTCCCCAAGACTCACAGAGCCATCTGGCTTTGATTCTCACCAATTGTCAAATCATGAACAGCCATAAACCGTTTATCTGTGAACTGTAGCAAGAGGCATGATTTCCCGACACCTTAAAAAAAAGGCAAAATATTATTATAAACTCCTATGCTTAAAAAAAAAGAAGAGAGATTTCTGTTTAACTAAAGCACTCTAGAGCAGGGTTGCCAACCTCTTGGACCTCAGGGACCACCAAACTAATAATTTTAAATCCCATGGACTAGAGACCCTGGGAAAATCCCCCAAAAAGTCTGCAGGAAAATTCCCTACCCTGTTTTCCTACCAGGAAAATCAATCATTCTTTATTTGGGATCACAGGAGAGATCACAGAAGAGAGAGAGAGACTTTTGGCTTCATGCAAGGAAAGCAGCAGAAGTCTTTCTTTCTCTCCCCCAAACTCTGCCAGAAATGAGTCTTTGTGAGACTTGACACTTGGCACTGCCTCTTGGAGTAGGATGCCTTGCAGGGTCTCAAAGACTCATTTCTGGTGGAGTTTGGGAGAGAGAAAGAAAGACTTTTGTTGCTTTCTTTGCGTGCAGCCAAAAGCAGAAAAAGAAGTGGAAAGAAGCAGCCTAGTGGCCAGGCCAAGCATGTAGGGCGAGTGAGGCAAATTCCCCGCCACTGCCCTTTCCCCCTTCCCTTCACTGCCTCATGTTGTTCGCAATGCAAGTGATGCAATCCTTGTGTTCCCACGGGCCATGGGGCTGCACAGCCTTGTGTTCCTGTACAGCCTGGATTAATTGCTTTGGGGGGTGCTTTGGGGGTGACATTTCTCTGCGGACCACCAAAATTTTCTCATGGACCACCATTGGGCCCCAGCCCACTGATTGGCAACCACTGCTCTAGAGAACAATTTACTGATGCATTTATTTTATACTCTTTATTGGTGCAAACTATACCTGTTTATCTTTATAATCCTTTGGTATTTAATAAACCGTATTTCCCTGAGATAGAGAAGTGGATCCTAAATGATAGAATAATTAGAAGTGTATTAGGAAGCTCTCAATTTACTGAATGCAGACTCTGGAAATTCTCTTTTTGTTGTCTTTCTGCATATTAGATATTCGGACTCTTTTGCGGTAAAGCCGTCTAAACAATCTTTGGCTTTGAAGTAAGTCATAAAGAGTCTGTCTTTGAGGGAGATAAGCAGTCCATAATTATGAAAAGATAAGAGATAGATAGATAGATAGATAGATAGATAGATAGATAGATAGATAGATAGATCTAATAACAATAGATTTAACAACAAATAATCAGAGTTTCTAAAAATCGAAGTCAAATTAGCAATAGGAAAAACCAACTCTGATCAACCCAATTTGCTTACAATATTTCTCAACTTACAGCAGTTTACTTAGTGACTGTTCAAAATTACAACAACCCTGAAAAAAGTGACTTAGGACCATTTTTCAGTGATGATCTTTCAAGCATCCCCACCGTGATCATGTGATCAAAATTCAGGTGCTTGGCATCTAGTTCACACTTATGACCGTGGCTGTGGCCCAGGGTCACGTGATCCCCTTTTGCGACCTTCTGACGAGCAAAGTCAGTGGGGAAGCCAGATTCTCTTAACAATCGGGTTACTGACTTGTCAACTGCAGTGATTCACTTAAACAATGGTGGCAAGAAAAGCTGTAAAATCGGGCAAAACTCACTTAACAGAAAATTGGGGCTCAGTTGGGGTCATAAGTCGAGGACTACCCGCACTTTCTTTAGAGAGGCAAATGGAATCCCAAAGAAGTTTCATGAGTCTTCATCTTGCTTTCCATTCCATAATATTCTCCAGACAAGATAATGGAGAAGTGTTTTTCAAACTTGGGAATTTTTAAGATAGTTGGACTTCAATTCCCGGAACTGAAATCCACCTTTCTTAAAGCTTTCAAATTTGAAAAGCACCACTAGGGAGTAATTTCTTGCCACAGTTGTTAAGTGAATCACTGCAGTTGTCAAATGAGTAACATGGTTGTTAAGTGGATTGGGCTTCCCCATTGACTTTCCTTGTCAGGAGGTCGCAAAAGGTGAAGATGCAACCCAGGGACACTGCGACCATCATAAATACATGCCAGTTGATTTTATTATATATGATTCTCTCTTTTATGAGTTTTATTGCTTTTATATGTTTTATATTCTTGTAAGCCACCGTGAGTTGCCATATGAGAATAGGCATCAATATAAATCTCCTAAATAAATAAATGGCCACATTTTGATCACATGACCATGGGGATGGTTGTAAATGTGAAAGTGTGAAAAATGGTCGAAAGTCACTTTTTCCAAAGCTGTTATAAATTCAAACTAAACGAATGGTTTTAAGTTGAGGACTACCTGCAATGGGAGAAGCCAGGCTTTCAAATAACTGAACTACATACACAAGAGGGAGTCAAGCTTTTTTCCAAAGCATCAGAAGGCAGAACAAGAAGCAACGGATGGAAACTAATAAAGGAGAGAAGCAACTTAGAACTAAGGATAAATTTCCTGGCTGTTAGAACAATTAACCAGTGGAACAACTTGCCTCCAGAAGTTGTGAATTCTCCAATACTGGAAGATTTTAAGAAGACATTGGACAACCATTTGTCTGAAATGGTGTTTCCTGCCTGAGTGGCAGGGTTGGACTAGAAGACCTCCAAGGCTCCTTCCAATTTTTCTGTTCTGTACTGAGTTCTCTAAGAGTGCATGTAAAGGAGCCTGGTCAATCCCATCTCAATCCTCTACCTTACTAACAACTGTTGGTATTTACCGATAAATATTTCTAAATTGTGTTTGAAAAGTTGCCAGAAACTAGACAGTTGATGGTCTATGGAAATTTTGTCACTCCGTCATGATGGTCCCAAAGGTGTTTTTTTCAAAAGGCAACTGGACTTTTGTTTCTCCTTTAAGACATTTCGCTTCTCATTCAAGAAGCTTCTTCAGTTTGGAAGAATTGGGTATGTCTAGTCTAATGAAAAGTAAGAGGGGAGATGATAGCAGAATTGCAGTTTTTGAGGGGTACCACAAAGACGAGGGGGGCAAACTATTTTCCAAAGCACCAGAAGGCAAGATAAGAACCAATGGATGGAAATTAATCAAAGAGAGAAGCAAACTAGAAGTAGGAAGAAATTTCCTAATGGAAACCAGTGGAACGGCTTGCCTTCAGAAGTTGTGGATGCCCCATCACTGGAGGCTTTCAAGAAAAAACTGGACTGCCATTTGTCTGAAATGGTAGAGTACAGACCCTCCTGGTTAAGCAGGGGTTTGGACTAGATCAGGGATCCCCAACTCGCATGCCAGAAACTAGGCTGTGCAAACAAGCAAAGCCCCATCCACGGGTTGCAAGCAGCACAAAAGAACAACAGCCCTTTGGGTCTTGGAAAAATCTGTTCATGGAACCAGTCCCTGGTGCACAAAATGTTGGGAATCACTGGAATAGATGACCTCCAAGGTCCCTTCCAATTCGCTATGCTATGCTACACTATGCTATGCAAAAGTAGCACAATATGCATTCATTTATATTTGTTCTGCATGCAAATATCTAAAAAAGCTCAAAAGCAAAGGCTCTAAAGTGTTTATATATTTAGTGACTTCTTTCTGTATTAATCATGAAAGTGGTAACGTTCATTTTCTTAATCTTTTAATAGACTTGCTGCTGTCTGCTATCCTAGAGATAGTAAAATACCAAACTATAAACACGAGGAAGGTTATGTTTGTTTCAACCTAGTGTAACTTCACTGTGATTGTTTTATACCTTTGAAGTCTTTCGCCTTGTCAGGAATCTTGGGAGGTTTAAAAGCAGTGTTGGGAGAGGTACATATTTTAAAAGGAATAACTGTATGCAGGAAGTCCTCGAATTACAAGAGTTGAGGCCAAAATTTCTAAGCAAAAAGTTGTTAAATCAGTTTTGCCCTCTTTTGTGATCTTTCTTGCCACAACTGTTAAGTAAATCACTGCAATTGTTATGTCAGTAACATGATTGTTAAGTAATTCTAGTTTCCCCATAGATTTTGTCAGGTCACAAAAGATGACAACATGATCCCAGAATACTGCAACCCTAATAAAAACATGGCAAGTCTCTAAAATTTGATCAAATGACCATGGGAATGCTGCAAAAGTCAAGGGGCTGAACAATTGTTATAAGTCACTTTTTTTAGTGCCATTTTAACTTCAGTCACTAAATAAATGGTTGTAAGTCGAAGACGACCTGCAGATCACTTTCCTCAATCTTGGCTACATTAAGCTGTATGGACTTCAACTCCCAGAATGCAGTGGCCAAGGTGAGAAACCGTGGGCAGTCCATGACTTATGACAATTAAATCCAAGATTGTTGTTGCTAAATAAGACTTTTGTTAAGTGAATTTTGCTGCATTTTATGACCTGTTCTGCCACCGTGTTTAAGTGAATTTAAGTACAGTTAAGTTAGTCACATGGTCCTTGAATTCGGATCACAACTGAGCTCAAAATGTATTGCTAAATGAGACATTTAAGTGAATTTTGCTGCATTTTATGGCCTTTTCTGCTACCATTTTTATGTGAATTTATGTGCCACCATGTTTAAGTGAATTTAAGTGCAGTTGTTAACTCAGTAACCTGGTCCTTGATTTACCACCACAATGGAGCCCAAAACTTATGTTGCTAAATAACACATTTGTTCAGTGAGTTTTGCCCCGTATTATGACATTTCTGCCAGTTAAGTGAACAATTGAAGCTGTTAAGCTCATAACCCGGTTAAGTGAATCTGACTTCCCCATTTACTTTGTCTTGTCAGAAGGTTGCAAAAAGGGGGTCCTTTGACCCCACAAGACCTTACAACCGTCATAAATACGAGTCAGTTGCCAAGCGTCTGAATTTTTGATCTCATGACCGTGGGGATGCTGCAAAGTTCACTAAGTGTAAAAACTGGTCATAAGTCACTTTTTTTTCAGTGGGATCGTATCTTCAAAAGGTCACTAAACAAATGGTTGTTAAGTTGAAGCCTACCTGTACTATATGCCTTGCTTAATGGCATGACCCCTTCCCCCCACAATCCCTTTGGGGAACCTGAAAGAGAACCAATTTAAGGAACAGGCTATAGTCGTTACATAAGTTACACTTTTTTCAGTGTCGTGGACAGTTTGAACGATCACTAAATGAACTGTTGTAAGTTGAGGACTAACTATATAATGTCCTGTTTCTTCCCTTTGGCTTCCCGGTCTAATCTTGGTCAACCTGGGGATTGAATGAGGCCAGGTCCTGGTTTGGCACAAAATCTGGGATTTAGAGACCTGAGCTCGCAAAACTAACCAAGATTTAACCACTATCTGATTGATGATCATGCAACCACGGGTCCTGACAAGACCCTGGGGTGAGAAAGCACTTCACTGAATTCCCTCCGTCCTTTCCCTCCAGTCTTCTATCCACCCTACCCTAAAGCGCACCCTAAAAAATCTTAGGACCCCCTCAGTCTACCCCCCCCCCCCCGCCCCTACCGGTGTCCCCGATGATAACGTATTTGAAAAGGTAGGCATAGGACATGGCGCCGAAGGCCCCGGAAGCCCGGCCCCAACCGCCGCTCTCATCCCACTTGGACGCTCTGGTTTTCCTTTTCCGGTTTCTTTTAAAGAAGTTTAAAGCCGGATTTAAAAAAAAAAAAAAGCCTTTGTCTTGTCCGAGGGGGCCGCTCCGGCCTCGAAAGGCGGCAGGGTCGCTCTAGGCTACCCGAAAGTTCCAAATCCACGGCTCCAATTCCCATGTAACCGTTGGCTTTGACGTCACATCCGGCAGCTTCCGAAGGCGGCGGAGGCGGCCGTTGTAACGTGTCCCCCCGCCTTTTCATTGCCCTTCGAGGCATCGGGACCTCTTCCCGTTCGCCGCCTTAATGGCGCCTGAGGGGAATTAAAAACCTGTGGGGAGGGAGGAAACCTTTCTCCCACATCGTACCTCCCGCTTTCCCAACCCGGCTTCTTCTCGACCCAACGGTTTCCCTGACCATAGAGGACAGGAAGGCGGGGTGGGGAGCAGAAAGAAAGGCAACGTGGGGCGGAAGTGATGCGTTCCCAGCCGTCGCCAGGGTGGGCGGCATCCATTCCGGTTCCGGTCTGAGCCTAGAGGAAGAAAGCAAGGGGAGGGGGAGAGTCTGGTGGGGTCTCCCCACCCTCTTCTTCGCGGCTCCGAAGCGGCGGCCATGGAGGTGAGGGGACGAGTCGAACCGCCTGTCTGCCGCGCGGGCTGGGAGGCTGTGGCTGCCAAGGAGGAGGAGGGCCGGGCGTGGTGGTGGGGATCTTGGGATGAGGAGGGGCTGGCGTAAATGGAAGCAGAGGGGCGCGATGTGGAAGGCTCCGCCCGCTCTTTCCAGCCCTTTCCGATGTTTCCTCTCCCACTCCGGGGATGCGGGCTTTGCAACTCCAGTGGTGGTCCTCAGTCCGCCCCCCTGACCCTATCCGGTGGGCAGGTAGGGTTCTCGAAACGAATCGATTGGTGGTGGCCGTTGGGGAGCGGGGGGAGAAAGGGGTTTTGCTCTCTTTCCGCTGTTTGGGTTCCCTTGATAGCGCGAACACGTGTCCATGGAGGCCCTGTGTGTATGTATGTATGTATACGTATACATATACATATATATATATAGAGAGAGAGAGAGAGAGAGAGAGAGTTCACCGTGACAAGAGATTTTCTCTCTCTCCCTTCCTTTCTATTGTAACCTGCCTACCTATCAACCATCTATCATCTACCTGCCTACCTATCGTAACCCACTTGTCTGTCTGTCTATTATAACTAATCTACCATCTATCTATCTAATATCTATTGCCTATCTAGCCATCCATCCATCCATCTATGGCAGGCGGTGTCGAACTCAAGGCCCACGGGCCGGATGCGTCATGCTCTGGCCACTCCCACCCCTGGTTTAGCAAAGGGGAAAAAAGTTGCAATACGTCACATAACGACGTGTTGTCGTGAGTTTGACACCCTTGATCTACGGCAGGGGTGTCCAACCTTTCACCTTCCCTGGGCCACATTAGAAGATGAAAATTTGGTTTGGGCCGCACATAAAATAAAATAACAGTAATGATACCTGATCATCCAAAAAAACCATAGAAAACATAGTTAACATATTAAATTTATTTGGCAGCGGGGGCAGAAGCGCCGGCGGCGGCAACAGCAGGAGGTGGCGCTCTGACAGCGCCCACCTTTTCTGTTGCTGCTTGGCCTGGCGCTCGCCTCGCCCCGCCTTGCGCCTGCCTCTCCTCCTCCTCGCTGGCTCTGGCACGAAGGTTGGGGTGGACACTGGGCCGCATTACGAGGTGACCTGGGCCGCATGCGGCCCGTGGGCCGCGGGTTGGACAAGCCTGATCTACGGTGTATGTATGCATGCATGCATGTATGTATGTATATATTCAAGCATATATCATCCATCTAATCAAGCATCTATATTATCTATATTATCTAATCAAGAACCTATCCTCTATGTTATCTATCATCTGTCTTGTCTGTCTCTGCTTGTCTATATAATCTATGTATCTAATCAAGCATCTATCATGTATCTTTGTCTAATCTATCCACCTACCTACCTAACACAGTGAACTGTTGTCTTCTGAAGTCTTCTAATATATTCGCTGTGTCAGACAAACTAGAACATTTGTCTGAAATGGTATAGATCAGGGATCTTCAAACTTGACAGCTTTAAGACTTGTGGACAACTCACAGAATTCCTCCTCCAGTCATGTTAGCTCAGGAAATGTGACAGTTGAATCCACAAGTCTTAAACTTGCCAAGTTTGAAGACCCTTGGTATAGGGCTTCCTGCCTGAGTAGGGGGTTGGACTAGAAGACCTTCAAGGTCCCTTCCAACTCTGTTATTGGGTGGGCATGGACGACAGCAGATTCCCACAGCTATAGTGAAGTGCCTTGCTGCACACAGTTATTTGTCTCTCTTACAGCTTTCACTTCCTTGCTCTGGATATTTCCCATTTTGAAGGCTAAAATAATGGGAAGGTAGTACAGGTAATCCTCTACTTACAGCCACCATTGAGCCCAAAGACTTGCTCAGTGAATTTTGTCCTCTCTTGCCACATTTGTTAAGTGAACCACTGAAGTTATTAAATTGGTAACCCGGTTGTTAAGTAAATCTGGCTTCCACTTTGACTTTGCTTGTCAGAAGGTCGCAAAAAGTGATCACATGACACTGCAACCATGATAAATATAAGCCAGTTGCTGAGCATCTGAATTTCAACCCCATGACCATGGGGATGCTACAAAAGGTTATTAAGTATGAAAAATGGCTGTAGTTCACTTTTTTCAGGGCCATTGTAAATCCGGATGGCCACTAAATGAACTGTTGTAAGTCGAGGACTACCTGTATTAGTTCTGGGAGGCTAATAGCCTCCTTTTGCCTTCTTGACCTACATTGGGGGTAGAAAACTCTTGGGGAGGGATGAGATATGGGTACTTGAGGGAAAGAGAATAGAGGAAAAAAAACTATATTGGATCAGAGGCACGGCCAGAAAGTTTCAAAAGATAATGAGAGGGAAAAAAAATAGCTTATCCTGAAAAATGTGATGGATCAGCATGAAAAATACAGGATATAATGATTCTCAGAATAAGAATATGTTCAGGAACCAAGCATAGCTTAATCCTATGCAGTGGAAGCGTATCCATCCTAATACAGTATTATGGGGGGATAATCATTACGGACTGAGTATGTGAAATTTCAATCCCCTTTTATTAATTAACATGGAAAAGAAAGCATTGGTGTGATTAAAATTCAATGGTTTTCAGTTGTGAACATTTTTTTTCCTGCTAGGGCTATTCATAAACTTTTTAGGGCTATGATGGAATTAGACTAAAACTCCTGTGGAATTTTCTGACAATGGTTAAGAAGGAGCTCACTTTCCATCTGAAGATGTCTCCAATCCTTTGTTCAATTCTTTTCTGCATTTTTATAAAACCACAATCCAGCTTTCTATTCCTGCTGCAATAATGCTTCCAGGATTATTGGGTGTTCAGATAGAACGTTGGATATTTAAACTTTCCTGTCAGATGAGAGAAACTGGATGGATTTTGTTCAGGGATCTTTTTACTCCCTAGGTTAAGATGGACAGCACTCAGCTCTGTATATGGAAAATCCCTGTGGTTTATATTAATCCCCAGAAGTTCTTCTACATACACACAATGGAGTGCTTCATTGTTTATTATTCTGTAACATATGGTAGCCTTTTGTTATATATTTGTCCCAGAGCCCTGGTCTTGAATTTCTGCGTGTCACCTTTTGCAAAGAGGGAGGAGTTATGAGCTCCATTGTACCTTGAACCCTTCCACATATATGATCTTCAGTGAAGCTGTGCTGAAATAGAATATCTTACTGCATGAAGCACAGTTCATGTTATTGTGGAACACTTGTTTCTCAGCTTGGGAACTTGAAGATGTATGAACTTTTTAGTTAACAAACGATGGCTGGAACTGGGTATGTCTAGTTTTGTGAAAAGAAGGACTAGAGGTGACATGATAGTTCTAAAATCTCAGGGGCTGCCACAAAGAAGAGGGAGTCAAGCTATTCTCCAAAGCACCTGAAGGCAGGACAAGAAGTAATGGGTGAAAACCAATCAAGGAGAGAAGCAACCTAGAATTAAGGATGAATTTCCTTTCAGAACAATTAACCAGTAGAACAACTTGCTTCCAAAAGTTGTAAATGCTCCAACGCTGGAAGTTTTAAAAAAGTGATTGGACAGCCATTTGTCTGAAATGGTATAGGGTTTCCTGCCTGAATGGGGTTGGTCTAGAAGACTTCCAAGGTTCTTTCCAACTCTGTTATTCTAATAATTCTAGTTGACGTTCATACATCTAGAAGTTGTATGACCCATGGCAAAAAAACAGAGGTGGGCAATTAATTTTCCAAGGAATCACATGAGAAACTGGTCCTGTTGTTGAACTAAGAAGTCTATGAATGTACACAAGCATGCCCGCACATAAACTGGAAAAAAAAAATCCTAAAACCAGTCACCATCAAAGTAAAATCAATCTATGTGAGCCAGACAAGAGCTGCATGTGACTCGGGAGCTGTAAAATGCTGTAGAATATTTCTGACTGGCATCATAAATGTGAATTGCATCTCCCAGATAAGATAAATTGTCATTTATTTAATTGCTTGAAACTGAGTGCTACCTCTGACATGCAAGGAACTCCATACACAAAAACATTCAAAGCCTCAAAAGGCTTCTGAACATCGTTGGTGGCAAGATGGTTCACAGTAAAACCTTTGCCAGCTTCTGCCGATTGTGGTTACTTCTTGTTCTGCCTTTTTCTTTTCTTTTTTCTTTTCCTTTTCTGTTTTCCTTTTCCTTCCCTTTCCTTTCCTCTTTTCCCTTTTCTTCTGCAGCAGTTCTGAAACTTCCTAACTGCATATTGAAGGGCTTCTGTGTTCAGCTTCGTGTCTTTGAAGCAAGCAGACTCAGCAGGTTTTGGAAGACTGGCAACCTGCTGAGATTATGCAGCAGGGGCTGTTCAAAGAGGAGGTTTCATCCTGTTGTTGGTTTTTCTGAATCAGTAACAGCCCCACTCCCACCCATCTGTGCTACTAGATTTTGATAAGCTGCTCAGGTTGCAGAAGTTAGCAGCAAAAATGTGATTGCAAGCTTCGTATGCACTCATTCAGCTCAGCAGCTGTTTGTTTTTCCCCCCTTTGGCTGGTGATCCCATGCTTTGGATTCCTGGAATTTGGCTTAATTGATGTTTCCTGCGGAAGTAAGCAAATAC